TTATTTATTTATTTATTTATTTATTTATTTATTTATTTATTTATTTATTTTGAGACAGGTTTCTCTGTGTAACCCTCACTGTCCTGAAACTTGCTTTATAGACCAGACTGGCCTTGAACTCAGAGATCTGCCTGTCTCTGCCTCCTGAGTAGCTTTGATTTTTAATGCATATGTTAGAACACTTGGCTTTAATTTGCCTGCAGGAATGTCAGTGCACCACTGTGTAGTGCCCACGGAAGCCAGGAGTAAGATCCCTTTGAACTGGAGTTATAGACTGTTGGGAACTGTCTTGTGGCTGCTGAGGACTGATTCTGGGTCCTCTGGAAGAGCAGCCAGTGCTCTTAACTGCTAAACTGCTAAATCTCTCTAGGTCTCATGACTTAACATTTGTAAAAGTCAATCCTAAAGTGGCCAAATATTTCAGTGCTCATCATTTCCAAAAAATCCTTGCCTACTCCAAACAGAAACCTCCCTTTCCCCCAAGGCCCAGACATCAACATAACCCTACAAGCTTTGTCTAATAACTATTATCATACTTATGTCTATCAGAAATCTAGCACAAAAATATGAAGCTAAACCTTCATGGTGGTGGTACACACCTCTAAACTCAGCACTCGGGAGGCAGAGGCAGGAGGATCTCTATGATTTCAAGGATAGTGGGGCAACACAGGACAGCCAGGGCTACATAGAAAGACTTAAACAAGCCGGGTGTGATGGCACATACCTTTAATCCCAGCATTTGGGAGGCAGAGGCAGTTGGATGTCTGTGAATTCAAGGTCAGCCTGGCCTACAAATCAAGTTCCATGACAGGTAGGGCAGAAAAATCCTGTCTCCAAAAAACAAAACAAATAACAACAAAGAAAGAAAGAAGGACCCCTCCCCCCCCCCAATAAAGAAACCTGAAGCATACCTCATTGGAGGACAGAGGCTGAGTGAATGGGGCACTGGAGGGAGTGGTAATTTCACTCACTCGGAGCATCGTCCGCACAATCTCGCTGCTTGTCTGGAAGATAAACTAGAACTCAGAATTCTGCTGCCTGTGGCTCTGGCTCTGAGCCAGTGGCCACACCTGATGACCATCCGCAAGACCGACCTTACTCCTTGCTGGACACTGGCTCACCCACTCAGACATTACCTGGTCCATTCGGTTCGCGACTGCGCTCACAATGGCTTGGTCACGGAAGTGCTGGTGGAATCTGTCAAGGTTGACTTGCCAGTAAATTCCATCATCTGGAATGGGCTGAAGGGAGATTAGAGAGAAACAATGAAATATAGTGCCATTTCCTAGTGAGTTTGCCTTTAAAGCTCCATTTGTTTTGTCATACTGTAGTAATGAATTCAGGAGTGTGGGTTAGTGTGTCCTGACAAGCTCTAACATCAAGTCCCTGAAGTCGCCTTCCTCGTATGTGCTAACTCCTCTCCGTTGCCCTCCAATCCCTTACTCTCCCTTACTCTCTGCAGACGACTTTCCTCTTGACTTCATGGGTAAAATTGAAGCCAGAACTCCCTCAACTCTGTGCAGACATCTTCACCATCTCCTTCCCTTCTGCCCCCTTCCAGAAAATCTTTACCTAAGGGCATGTCCTGTCCCTGGGTCTCCGGATCCAGATCAAGCATGCTTCCTGTCCTCTAAGCCCAACCTCTCCTTTATTGCTCTTTTCTCATCAGCTTTTACCCTGCTCAAGGCTCTTTCTGGAAGAATTCTCCAATGCTACAATCCCCTTTCCCCTCTGCTCCTTTCCCTCCTGCCACAGCTGGCCATTCTAGCTACACCCTCTCTGGCTTTACTCAGCCAATCTCCACCTCTGCAGGAAACTTCATTTGTTCCTGGCATTCCAGTTCCACCACTGTCCTCCAGGGTCCTCTGCTAAGCATGGAGGACACTGCCCAGTCCTGATCTTAGTTGACTTTCTTGAAGTAACATAATCACTTAATTGGACATTATTGGACATTATCATGATTTGCCTCCTAAGTTCAGGGATTAGAGCTATGTGATACCATGCTCGGCTAAATATCTACAGTTTTTGTTTTGTTTTAAAGACACAGTCGCTCTACATAACCCTGCCTGTTCTGGAACTTACTATGTAGACCAGGCTGGCCTCAAGCTCACAGAGATTCACCTGCCTCTGCCTCCTGAGTGCTGGGGTTAAAGGTATATGCCACTACACCATGCCAAAATGTCTACTTAAAGAAAAAAAAGACTTAATTTTTGATTTTACATGTATGTGTGATTGTCTGCATGTATGCGTTTGCACCAGGTACGTTTGGTGCCTGTAGATTCCAGAAAAGGATATCAAATTCCTTGGGAATGGAGTTACAGACAGTTGTAAGCTGTCATATGGGCTTTGGAACTGCATTTTTAATAATTTATTTAATTTTTATTTTATTTATTGCATGAGTGTGAAGGTGCAGATCCCTTGGAATTGGAGTTACAGACAGCTGTGAGCTGCCAAGTGAGTGCTGGGAATTGAACCGGGTCCTTTGGAGGAACAGACAGCACTCTTAACCACTGAGCCATCTCTCCAGCCCAAGATTTCTTTTTTTAAATTCATGTTACCTATGTGTGTCTGCCACATGTGTGTGGGGCCCACGGTGGCCAGGAAGTTACAGACATGGGCGCTAGGAGCCGAGCCCTGGTTCTCTGAAGGACTAGGAGGTGCTCGTAACTGCTAAGCCCTATCTCAGGACCACAGACATCTACTCCTATTTATTTTTTGAGACAGGGTCTCTCCCTGGGCTTGAACTTATCAAGTAGGCCAGGATGGCTGGTGAGCCCCAGGGATCGTCCTGTGATTTTGGGTTGGTCCATATTCATAGCCTGAAGATTGAACATGCCTGACAGATCACATTTGTAGACTTTAATAGTCCCTAGCATGGTTTCCTTTTTTTTAGACAGGATCTCATGCAGCTCAGCTGGTATCAAACTTACTACATAACTGGCTTAAGATGTACATTAGTCAAATTAATAGGGTGCTGACAGGGCATCTGCATGCAACAGCTGAGGCCTAAACGCGTCTTTCTAGACTTCATCCCAGCACTGGTCCTCACAGGTCTATGTGTTCCAGCCACACTGAACATCTCCAACTTTTTCTATGTTCTCTTTTTTCATTTGTTGTTTTTGGGGGAACAGGGTCTAATGTAGCCCAGGAATGTAGAGGAATTTTAATTCAGTACATGACTACTCTGGCTGCAATATAGACACACCTTTAATCCCAGGAAATAGAACAAGTAGATCTTTGAGTTCAAGGTCAGTCTGATATAGAGCGAGTTTTAGGTAAAGAAAAGCTTAGGTCCAGGCGTGGTGGTACACATTTTGAATCCCAGCACCCAGAAGAAAGAGGCATTTAGATCTCTGAGTTCTGTTGAGGCAGTTCTGTTGAGTCAGTGAGCTGAGAGACAGTGTGATGGAGTTGAGTTCATGATAGTTCAGTTCATGGAATTCAGAGGCAGTTTTTACCAGGAAAGTTTTACAGAGAGAGGTTGAAGAGAGAACAAACTAGACACAGGTGAAGACAGAATGAGCCAGAGAATGAGAAGGAGCCAGAAGATTAGAACACATTGCCAAAGTTAGTTTGAGGTCAAGGAGAACAATTTAGTGAGAAACTGAGAGAAGCCAGACTGAATTAGTTGGCTTGGAGAGGAGTATTGAGCCAGACAGCTGAGTTGAACCAGCAAGAGCTCAGAAAGAACTAGAAAGGGTAAGCTTATTCAGTAGTCAGAGGCTGAAATCATTCTAGGCCTAGATTAGACTGTACAGAGGCTAGAAGCTTCCAGGACTAGGCCTAGGATGGAGATGGAGGCAGGAAGCCTTGGAGACAACAATTAAATCAGTCCAATAAAAGTTACTTTTATACAGGCTGCCCTTAGACTTACTTTGTAGGCAAAGACAACCCTGAATTTCTGATTCTCTTCCCTCTACCTTCTGAGTCCTGGAGTTACTAGCCATACAGCATCACTTCCGGCTTGTTTAGTTCAAGATAGGGCCTCACTATGTAGCTCTGGCTATCTTGGAACTCACTCTGTAGACCAGGCTAGTCTCCGAGTCACAGTGACCTGCTAGACTCTGCCTTCCAAGTGCTTAAGTTAAAGGCATGGGTCATCACACTAGGCACCACTTCTGCTTTTATTTGGTCCTGGGGAATCAAACCCAGGGATTCCTGCATGGCGGGTAAGCAATTTACTAACGGGGCTACATCCCCAGCCAAAGGTGCTGTCTCTCTCTCTCTCTGTTTTTTCGAGACAGGGTCTTACTATATAGCCTTGGAACTCATGGAAATTCCCCTGCCTCTGCATCCCTGCTGGAGTTAAAGGGATGGCCACCACACCCAGCCCTGTTTTCTCTTTTTTAAGTTAGTACTATTGTTCAGTGAAGTAAGTCAGCCCTCAGAAGGGAACCGGAGCAGCATTCCTTCCACAGAGCCCCTCTCACCATCAGGAGCTCTCACTGTTCCTTAGTAAAAAGGGGGCAAGGAGAAGTGGGCAGAGACAGCAGTAGGATTCTGCTTATGTTGGTCTATTCCTGACCAACATTTACTGACATTCATAATCCCAGTACTTCTTAACCGGGAACATGCAGGTTCTGTCGACTTGCTGTCTGAGGGCTATTTCTGGACTGCTCTAGGGTGAAGATTGCTAATCACGAAGCCCATTACCTCCTTCTTATCTGTGAATTTTGGTTTCTTGGCCTTGGGCTCTCCAGTAGCATCTTCATCAGATGATCTCCTCCTCTTACCTTTTCCTGATAAATAAAATAATTCAACAATTAGACTATATAGCCCTTGATGGCAGGAAAACAAGCCAATGCCTCTTCATCCTGAAGATGTTTGTAGCTGTCTCAGGGTAGAACTGTTTAGGAGGCTGAGGAGGTATAAGAAACTCAAGTCAGTGAGGGCAACATCTAAGAAAATCCATGTCTGCTCTCAAACTGCTCCTCCTACGCTTCCTTCTAGTGACTGGCACCGTGACACTCCCACCCATGCCAGTCAGACACACAGATGTCACTCCCCATGCTTGCCTTCTCACTGCTTCTATATCCACTTTCCAACAGTCTGTCTCGATTGCCTTTACCAGACAATCAACATTGTAAATCAAGAGCCTAGGAGTACCCTTTGCCCCTGGGTTAGGGAACGGGTACTTCCCAGTGCCTCGTTTACCTGGCCCCCCACTCCCTCCTCTCCCTGGTCTCTGAACTGCACACCATGCTGCAACGCTGGCCACTCACTTCCTCTGGTGTCTATCTCTGGTGTCGTCTATCTCTTTTTCTCATTACACACTGGTTTTAAGAGTACCCATCTTCTGTCACTTCGCTGGGTCGGTCCTACTTCTGTGTCAAGACCAGATCAAATTCCACTTTCTCCAAGAAAACATAAGCCTTCAGCCCCTCCACATACACTCCCCCACGACGTATTTTTGTAATAGCTAGCTCCTCCATAGTTCTTATCACAGTATATGAGGTTTCTGTGTGACTGAGTAACCTCTTCCTGGCAGGGATCACGGCTTTTCCATTATTACATACTACAAGGACCAGCACACAGCAAGTAACTGCAAACACTCAGTGAGGAAGAGCCCACAGTTAGGGCGAATCATAGTTCCCGGACGGAAAGTCCTTACCTATCAAGCTCAGTTTGGGAACCAGGTACATGTCCTTTTCATTAACGACAAGGGTTGGGGCAGGCGGTGGTGGCCCAGGGTCAGAGCCGTCAGTGGCAGGGACCAGGGGACAGCGCTGCACAAAGTGAGTCTCTGCCAGTCGCACAAACGCACTCGACACCTCAGCATAGTCCATGGTCTTGCCGTCTACGGAACAGGAGGAGACAGGCAGGGGAGATGGCCTGAGACGACGGAGCGGCCAGCCAAGCCAGGCTTCCGCTGAGAGCTGCAGCTGCAGTACTGACCCTCCATGGTCTCTGTGAGCCGGTCTGCTACTCTCTTCACGACGGCGGACATCGTCATTTTGCCATTCAGCAGGAGCTCCTCGACAATCAGCTCTCCGGTGTCACTGTACAGCGTTTTGGTCGTGTAGATGTACCGGGGGTACCTAAGCATCCGCAGTACCCGGCTGCACTGGGCCTCATACTCCACCACGCCGCGCTTATGCACGTGATAGGTCACCAGGTTATGGTGGATGAGGACACAAAGGGCTTTTTTCACCTAGATAGGACCCAAAGGAAAGAGAGGGACGGCCTGAAGCTATGCAGCGCCTCACTGCTGGCACGATGCCCCTCCGCCTACCCCCAGCTCAGCGAGTATCAGATCACTGGCAAAGAGTCTTCTGAACCTTTTTACTTTATTTATTTTTAAGCAACTGGGCCCGAGTTGAAACAGCAGGACCTGCCTTTTGTTTGCTCTGAGCACTGCTATGTCTATGGACAATGTCTCAGCTAAACTTATCCCCAGGTCCCCAGGACAGGGGACCCAGGGCCCATGAGCAGCGGAACTTGTGGTGGCAGCCATCTGGGCCAGTTCCCGCCATGACAACAGGGACTGAATCTGACTCGACTGCACACAGAATTTGCTTCCTCTCTGTGTTAGTGTAGCTAATGTCAATGGAAGAAATCAAGAGAATTCCTTGCCGTGAGGTTCATATTATGCCTGACTTTATCTTTCTTCTAGTTTTCTGTTTTGAATCAGGGTCTCACGGAGCCCAGGGTAGCCTTATACTTGTTATGTAGCTGAGGATGACCTAGAACTACTGAGGCCCTCCTCTCAAGTGCTGAGATCATAAACAAAAATCACACGAGGTTTTACGTAGTGCTGGAGATCAAAGCAGGGCACCCACTGCTGTGTAGTCACCCTCCTAACCCAGCCTCAGCCAGACGGTGACAGACACCTGTCACATCACAGTTTACTTTTTCCCACTGCTTTTCCTTCCTGAAAGGCAGTACCGGATTAGTAGACTCACTGTGAATGAATGAGCGTGGCAACAGCGAAGGTTCCTTACCCAGCAATGGCGAGCTAGGGACGCTACTCGGGGGCCTAAGTGCAACGCCATGCCCCACTCCCACCCCACAGAGGTTCTGACCGTAGGGCAGGCTTTCCCACTTCTACTTTCTAGGGGAAGGAGCACCACTGTTCAAAGCTGGGTGACGGGATGAATTAAAGGGAGCACCACTGTTCAAAGCTGGGTGACGGGATGAATTAAAGAGAGCAAGCAGATACCACCTAAACATACCTGGTCCACTGATGCTCTTGTGTCGTGGGCAATCACTCTAAGTGGCTGGCTTCCAGTTCTGATTAGGTGGACTCCAATTTTTTCTACAATCTCCCCAAAATGCTCTTGCAGCAGCAAAGAACACAGCTTAATTTCTGCTTGAGTCATTGCACCTGGAGCCTCAGAACTAGGAAAGAACAACAATATAAATTCACATTTTTTTTCCCTTGATAATACATACCCAAACCTTAAAACCTTGCATATATTTGCCTTAATACTTTAATTTGGAATTCTTTGTTCCAAGGAAATGATAAAAACCATGCCACTAGTTCTCCTCATGATGCTGGACATCCAGGACCTATCAATACAGCATAACCTTAAGTGAGTATACACGTCACCAACATTTAAGACGACTTTGTACAATTTAACTAGCATACCATTATTTGTAACGTGTTGTACTAGAGTAATTGCAGCGGCTTGGTATGACGGCATACATCCTAGCATTCAGGAAGCCAAAATCAAAGAATCGATGGCTCCAGGCCAACCTGGGACACAAAGTTCAAAGCCAGCCTGTGTTATACAAGACTCTGGTGGGTGATACAACCACCCATTAAACAAAAGACTGGAAAACGAGACATCAAATTTGTTTTCTAAAGCCAGGTATGGTGGTACATGCCTGTAGTTCTAACATTTGGGAGGTGGAGGTAGAGGGTCAGGGGTACAGGGTTATATGTTAAGTTCAAAGCCAGTCTGGTTACACGAGAGCCTGTCTCAAAAAAAAAAAAAGTCACCCCTATATGATATTTATTTTTATGGGATGACACATGGTTCCAATATCTTTAAAGGATGTATTCATCTGGATGTAGTGACTCAGATCTGTAATTTCAGCTCTAAAGCTTTTGACTGACATAAATTCAAGGCCAGCCTTGGCTACATAATAAATACCAAGCAAACCCGGTCCAAAGTGTGAGATCTCTAAAGAGAAAGGGGGAGGGGAAGTGCAAGGACTTTGTCACAGATACAAAGGACTAAGCTTCAGGACTCAGTGGGAGTACAAAGTATCATTCCCAAGCCATCAGCCACAAGCTTCTCAAGCGGGTGTTTCAATTAGGAGATGAAGCTATGTTCCTTTGAAAACCATATTAAATTTTTACACCTTGACAAATGGAACAAGTAGAAATGGATGTAACTGATGTATTACCTCCCTATAACAAGCTGCTACCTGCCATTATTCATCTATTTCTCCAACTCTCTAGAACCTAAGTCTTTGTCCCTCCTGCCACGATGTCGTAGGGGAGACTAGTTCACTTATCCAGACGTCTTTGGAGAAACATCCTTAGCCCAGCTGCCATCCCTGAAAAGGATTTCCAAGGCGCCTGACTCCTCTCCCTTCATGCAAGTTCCCGTTCCGGACTTAGTTTCTTGGCCCTGAGGCAGGGCCTCCTCATTCCGGCGGCGTTTTCCACTAACCTCAGGGTCAGTGCTAACTTAGAAGCTCCAAAAGTTATCCTGAGACCAGCGGCTTAGGCTCAGGGGCAGCCCAGCGACCCGGGCCGCAAGCGGAACGCCACCGAGGCGGACGCGGAAGCGGGGCCGCGCACCGGCCGCTCTAGCCGGCCGCGTCGGTGGTTTCCGGGGACGCTCTTGCCCTCCTCTCGTTGGCAGGCTGGAGGACCGGCCAGGGGCTGTCTGAGGTGCTGGCGGGCGGGCGCTCTCTCCTCCGCCTGCGGCGCCGGGAGGCGGGCCTCAGGGCGCGCGGCTGCGGGCGGGCCGGCCTCTCGGGGGGCCGGGCGGGCTCACGTGACCCCTGCGGGCTCCGGAGCGGGCGGCACCGAGGAGGCGGCGACGGCGGCGGCGGCTGCAGCCCCGGAGGTAGCGGCCTGGGGAGGGACCGCCGGCCGCCCTTTCGGACGTCCGCAGCGGAGGCGAAACATGGCGGAGGCGTCGGCGGCGGGCGCGGACGCGGGCTCGGCGGTCGCCGCGCACCGCTTCTTCTGCCACTTCTGTAAGGGCGAGGTCAGCCCCAAACTACCGGTAAGAGCCCCGCGCGTCCGGCGCCCCGGCGGAGGCTGGAAACCGGCGTTGAGCTGCCCGCAGCCCGCGGCTCCCCCGACGCCGGCGGCCTCGGGACCCGCTTGCCCGCTGTCTCCCGGCACTTGCCGCAGACCCGAAGCATCAGGGCCGGGCTCGGGCGCTCCCGCCCAGCCCCGGTTTCCGCGGCGGCTCCCGTCTGGGCGCTTCCGCCCTAATACCGCCTCCCCCCACCCCCCATCCTTTTTGTCTTCCTCGGTGAATTCTCCGCTAAGTCTGCGCCCGGCTTACTTCGCAGCCCTCTTCCTCGTCTCCTTCCCGCGGTGACCTGGCCCCCTGCACTCTCTCCGTGGTTGCATCTCACCTTCTCATTTATTTATTTATTTATTTATTTATCCCCCCCCCCGCCCCTACTTCTCAACCAGATCCTTCCCCTTCTGCATCCTCCGTGAGACAAAATAGCGGGTGGCTGAAGGGCTCCTGAAATAGGTTTTGTAGGTGAAAGAGGAGGTTTGGAAGGTAACAGGGAAGAGGGAGATTTCGCTCTTCAGCGCTTTCTTGGGTTCTTGTGAAAGTGAAAATAGCAGTGTACCGATGACTTGCAGACTGCCTGCGCTCCCTGTTGCTATTGAGGGAAATGGCTTTAGGAAGAAGGCAGGACGTGCTGTTTCAACTTAGTTTATTTTGGATGTCACGCCGTCCAGCTCCACTTTCCTAGCCCACCCCCTCCATTCTCTCTGTTCAGAAAAAAAAAAAAAAATACAGGACAGAAGGTTGGGGACTGCTTTCTCTGATGTACAGTTGTTTCTCGCTGGTTTCTGCCAGTCTGTCAGCCAATAGAGGTAGCGCTTCTGCAGCATGCCAGCCAGTGCCAGCGCCCCCAAGCCAGAAGGTCTTTTCGGTTGGATTGTAGTTAGTGTGGAGAGACTGACAAGGGGAATGTCCTTTGTACCTTTGACTAATTGTCTTTGTAGAATTACAGTTTTTATTTTTCCTTGTCGGGTGTCAAGTTTTCTTAAAATGAGCGTCTATGTCATAATTTTTATGTTCATAGCATTTTGAAGACACTCATTTCTGCAGAATGAGAATACATAGCATTTTGAAGACACTCATTTAGTCGTGGATGTTCTGGAACTTGCTATTCAGACCAGGCTGGCCTGGAACTCACAGAGATTTGTATGTTTCTGCCTCCCAAGTGTTGGGATTAAAAGTGTGCACCACTATGCTCGGCTTTGAACGCACTCTGAAGAGCAGGCCTACTAAGTTTAAGTGTTGGGGGTTGGTTCTGTGCACTGATTTCTCTGCCGGGTGAGATTAGGTTGCATTCCAGACCTTGGCGTTAGGAAAGAATCTCCTGTATCAATGTGTAAACAATGCTTCCCGAGCCTGGCGTGGCAGTGCACGCCTTTAATCTCAGTGCCCAGGAGGCAGAGGCAGGCTGATCTCTGTGAGTTCAAGGCCGGCCTAGTTTACAGCCTAGTTTGTGTAGTCCAGGTCAGCTAGCACTACACAGAGAAACCCTGCCTTGAATTCCACCCACACACACATGGGTGGGGGGGGGGAGCGACAGCTCATCAATTATCTCAGATTGATTAATAAAAAGCTGAACAGCCTGTTACCTCCTTATGCCCCAGAGAAGAATCTCTAAGTGAATTACTTTGGAATTGCTCTTAGTAGAAGTTTTATATTTATGATAAAAATAATTTTAGCAAAAAGTGGTGAGTTGGGATTTGGGGGTTGGTATTTTTGTTTTGAGACAGAGTCCCTCTATGTAGCCCTTGCTGTCCAGGAGCTTAATTTGTAGATCACAGAGATCACAGAGATCTGCCTGCCTCAGCCAGAGTGCTGGTCTGGCAGGGCTCCTCCAGCGTTTATTTTCTTTTTTGTTTGTTTGCTTGTTTGTTTTGAAACAGGGTCTTTCTATGTAGGCTCTGGCTGTCCTGGGACTCACTATGTAGACCAGGCTGGCCTCAAACTCACAGAGACCCAACTGCCTCTGCTTCCCTGATGCTGGGATCAAAGCTGTGTGCCACCATGCTTAGCTCCAGAATTTTAAAATAAGAGCTACTGATCACATTGTCTGAAGAATTCAGGTTTATATATGATAGGGTAGAATGGCATTATGTATTTTTGGGTCATCAGATGATAGAAGGAATATTTGAGAGAAATTTCCAGAAGCTTTACTTCATCTGACTATTCTATTGAGAGACCACCATGTGGGGCCAAAACTAATCGAGTTGTTACACTACACTGGAAGGACGCGTGGACAGAATACCACAGAGGGCTTTTTCAAGGAATGTAAAGGTGTTTTTTATTCCCACAAACTCACCATCCCCCAGTCCTTAGCCTGCTTTGGATATTGATGAGACTAGTGTGGTTCTTAAGTGTTTCATGGAGATCAGGACATTTCACAGATTCAGATGACAGACAAATCTAGTTAAACACTGCTGGGATGTTGCTCACCTCTGGTTCTGCCAGAGGGACTGGTAGTCTCACTTCCTACTTCTCTGTTGTGTCTTCTTTGCTCTAGTAAATGTCCTTCTTTTTAGTAAGTAATGTTATCTCATTTGGCTCTCTACCAGCTACTCACACAGCTTTTAATAATTGTGTTGTAGTTGTAACAGTTCCAATATAGGAAATCATTCTGATCATCTCATAATAAGGGTAGCTAAATGGTAGTTTAATTCAAGAATTTATACTGCTGAACTAGAGGAAAAATTATTGATTTGAGGTAAGCTTCAAAGATGCTAATCATGACACTACCTTAAACTCATATCTGTACTATCTGTAATGTCTACATGATTAGCATCTATCAGTTGCTTATTAAATTTGATTGAATGAGGGATAATGTTGGTGCTTTTAGAGGTTCTTTATATTCATAAATTGTTTCACATTTATTTAGTGTGTGTGTGTGTGTTTGTGTGTTATGTTAGTGTGCTTATGTCATGGTGCATGTGTGGAGGTCAGAGGACAACTTGTGGGAGTTGGTTTCCTCCTACTGTTATACAGGTCCTGGGGTTTGATCTCAGGTTTTCAGGCTTGGTGGCAAGTGTCTTTATACTTTGAGCAATCTTGCTGGCCCAGTTTTGAGAGAGGGTCTCATGTAGATAGCTGCTTTTAAACTCAGCAGGAGATCGTTGAAGCTATAATGGGGATGGGGGTATGGGCCCAGTGGCAAAACTTGTTGTTTTTGAAAAATGGAAATCCCAAATTGTTTGATTTTTTTACCAGTGAAGACTCAGGAGCCAGATACTGAGGTGAACCTACTAACTCAAAGAGAAAGAGAAAGCACCTAGCCAACCTTCCAACTCAGCTCCTGTCCCAGAGCAAAAAGCTAAAGGCCCCAGGCTTGCTTGCTTACCTGACAGCCCAGGAGGAAAAATGCCAATGAGTTAGAGTCTTAAGTACTCTTCTCTCAAAGTCCTTCCTTTTCTGTTAATCTCTGTCAGTTGGTTATTTGCTTTGCCTCCTGACCTAGGGTTAACTTTATTAAATCCTCTCTACAGAAAGCTCTAGGATTGAAGGTGAGTGTTAGGGCTGAACCACACCATAATCACCTGTTACAATAAACAGAAGGTTCTTGCGTTAAAGGTGTGTGTTAGGGATGAACACACTCCTTGTTAGGATAAGGAAACAAAAGACAGATTTTTACAGTTCACAGTGGGATCAAATAGCCTGCAGTAGTTCCTGCCTGGTATGTGCAAGGGCTTGGGTTTAATCACTGGTACCTTTAGTTGGGTAGGTGTTGTATGCCTGTAATACCAGCACTTGTGAAGTCGGGGGAGGAGGCCCAAAAATTCAAGGTCATTTTCTACTATGTAGTAAGGCCAGCCTGGGACACATGTGATCCTGTCCAAACAAACAAACAAACAAACAAACAAAAAAACAAAAAAAAGGCTCTAGTGATAGAAAATGCATTGCTGAATTTGAACATAAAGTGTCAGCAAATATATAACATAAGATCAAGAAATAACATTGTTTTATTTGTAAATTTTTGTCTTGTGTGTGTGTGTGCCCGCGCACATCACGGCACATGTTGGGGTAAAGGTCTGAGGACAACTTTTGGGAGCTAGTTCTCTCATTCTACTGTGGGTTTCAGGGCTTGCATTCTGGTCATCAGGACGGTGTTTCAGTCTATAGTTGGTCTGGAATCATTATCTCAATATGTAGCCTTGAACTCTTGGCAGTCTTCTTCCCTCAGTGTTAGGACTACAGGTATGAGCTGCCATGCCTATCACATCTGTGCTTTTAAGGCTGCGAGGTTAGTTACATAGCCTCAAGATTCCGATTAGCACATATGTGAGTACTGGGGAATTCTGAAGGATTCTCAGTATGAGGAAGAAAAAAACCTTAAGTTTATAGCAGATAAAGTTCCTTTGGGAGCACAAATGCTGTCAGGATGCCAACACTTTCTGTTTCTTTATGTTTAGTTGGCTTTTTAATGACCTTTACTTTTGTTCAGGTTCAGGGAGCCAGCTTGTATGGAGAGCTGGGTTGCTTCTTTTTCTGTATTGTCAAATTAGAAGGGATTTAATAATTAGTGTGTATTTCATTTTTCTACAGCTTAGTTCTAAGAAAGGAAGGAGCGATCTGTCACAGTGGAGTTTGATTAGGGCCGTTTTCTTCCTCAGGGAACATTTAGCCATCTCTGTGGACATTTTTATGTTACAGCTGGGGTCTGGAGGAGGGCTGCAGTTGCCATCTGGTAAGTAGTGGACAGAGCTGCTGGAAATGTACTGTAGGCCCAAATGTCAAGAGCGCTGAGGGTGTGAGAAGCTGTGATAATGAACCAAAGGATGAACGATGGGCACTTGTCTTTGTGTGCTAGAGGCACTTAAGGATTTGTTCTAGGGTAGGTTTGATTTCCGACTTTGGGGTCCTGATGAGAAGTTTTCATAAGATAACTGAGACAATATAATTTTAACCAAAGCCCTCATGGGAAAGGACTGTTTAGAACAGAGACTAGAGTTGGGTAGCTGATCTGTTAGAGTCCCTTTCTCTCC